GGCTGAAAAAGCTAAAACTAGCATCCAAACAGCTAAATGGTAGGTGAAACGCCATAAAAAGCTGAAACTAGCTGGGAAAAGCTGCATAACGAGCTGAAATTTGCAGAAAAAAGTTGATTAAGCTGAAAATAGCAGAAATTACCATGAAAAACTTGAATTTATCTGAAAACAGCTAGCTGAAACGTTTGATGAGCTTAAATTAGCAGCAGAAAGAACATGTTTGCCCAAATATTCTGAAAAAAGCAGAAATGAGCACAAAAAGTGGAAATTATCTTTAAAAAAAAAAAAAAAGCTGTAAAGTAGCTATGAAAAGCAGAAAGAAGCTTAAGGTCGTTTTCACACCAGATAGTCCGGTAGACTCGGTTCGGGACCAATACTCATGACCTTTTGTTTACATTTGAGCTGGTGCGTTTGCATTCACACTGCACTGTGCAGTCGAGTCAACCTGTTGAGCCAACCTTTTCCCCCGCTCGCCTGTGGGGGCGCTGCACCAAGAACTACTGAAAGAAACGACACAAAAACCACTGAAGACACGTCTTCTTCTTCTTCTGTAAATAAAAATAAAAATGAAGTGGCATCAAGTTTTAGCAGTTTTAGGAGTTATATTTTGTCATTTTTCAAAAATGAAAGCATGAGCAGAAGATGAGACAGAAGACCATGGAGAATATTGTTTTTCCACACAAGGCAGCTGACGGCTCCATATAAGGTCAGAGCAATGCGTGTTTGTTTACCCTGTGGAGCGGGTCCGGTCTGTTTACATTCACACTGTACTCGAACCGTGCTGGAGTTCGCTTCTACCGGACCAAGACCTAGGTTTTAGCCCGGGCCAGAGTTCGCCTTTTTGTTCCGTGACAGAGTTTGATGGTGCGTTCACACCTCCCTAAACGAACCGGACTTTCAAGGAAAACGAGCCAGAGTTCGATTAAAGCGGACTAAACAGGGCTGGTGTGAATGCACCCTAAGTTACAAGAAGTGGAACGAGCACATTTTTGCTGAATTAGGCTGAAAAAAGTTGAAATGAGTGCAAAAAATGTGGAATTGGCCGTAAAAGCTAAGATTAGCATAAAAAGTGCTAGCTGAAATGGCAGAAAAAGCTGAAACTTGCATAAATGAGCTGAAAGGAGCATCCATCCATCCATCCATTATCTTTACCTGCTTCTTCCATTTTGGGTCACGGGGTTCGCTGGTGCCCATGTCCAGCAATCACTGTGCGAGGGGCGGGGTACACCCAGGACGGGTCGCAAGTCCATCACAGGGACACATGGAGACAAACGAGACAAACAACCATTCACTCTAACTCACACCTAGAGACAATTTAGAGTTACCAATCAGCCTAACATGCATGTTTTTGGTCTGTGGGAGGAAACCGGAGTACCCGGAGAAAACCCACGCATGCACGGAGAGAACATACAAACTCCACCCAGAAAGGCCCCTGGACCAGGGTTTGAACCAGGGACCTGCTCGCTGAGAGGCAGCAGCTCTACCAGTTGCGCCACCGTGCTGCCTGAAAGGAGCATAACAAGCTGAAATTAGCTGAAAGAAGCTGAATAAAACGTGAAAGGAGCAGTAAAATGTTGTAAATGGATCTAAAGATTTGAAAGATGTAAAATGAGATTTCCTATAAGGAGAAAAAAAAAGTGACAGAAAAGGCTAAAGTTGCACCAATACCAAAAGTCATAGCACCTTTCTCCTGAATGAGCTGAATGTTTTATGATTTGTTGAAATGGCACAAAAATTGTGGAACGAGAAAGATGCCGAAAAATGTACGGAAGAAAAATTAATCTCAATAGTGTTGATGTTTCATAAACATTCAAACACTTGGTCGTTTTTTATTTTTGACCCTAAAAACGGTTAAATCAACATTTCCTAGAACCGTCAGCCTTGAATACAGATCAATATTTTTTAATACATGGATTATTTGAGACGGATGAAAGCAGCCATGTTTGAGGGCTTTTGGAGAGTGCAAACTATTAAACTCATAAGTGTTGTGCCTCTTTTAAAATGCAGTTTTAGGTGAAAAGAACAGGGTTCACATCAGGAATTGATGTTATTCATTTTATGCTTCATATCAGGTTTTCAGCTTAAGAGCTCGTGCAGTTCTGCTGACAAACGGAACTAGAATGATGGCATCTGCCTCAGCTCTCTTCCTGAGAAAACTATTACTAAAGTGCAATAATTAATGTGTTCCTTGTCACCCACCACTTTTCATGCCACATTAAGACCATCTCTGAGAAATCAGTTAGCTGTTTTGAAACTTTGAAAATATTTTACATTTCCTCATCTAACTCACCTGATGTGGCCAACTTTAAAGCTTTAACAAACATTGAATCTCATTTCCTGTTTTGTTTTGTTTCTTCTCCTTTTGCATTTTAACATCTTCACATCGTCTTGCTCACTTGATACACTTTTTTATTCAACAGGAAATGATGCTTACAGCCAATTAAATTTTAAATTTTAGTCTTTAGCAGACTCCCGTAGATAAACAAGTTTCCTTTTAGGTGGAAAGTGGTGTTTTGAGGAGCAAGACGAGGCCTTATAAGGAAGTATGGAAATGTTTTGTATGAGGAATGTGCAATTAAAGTGTTTGAAGGGCTCGAGAAGTTGCAACATAAAATGAACAGGTGTTGACTTTAGAAACTATGTGGATGCATTTAATGCACATCAGAGTCAGGAAAGCCAAGCAGCTACACGTGAAAGGATGTGGGCACAGGAGCAAGTACTGCCTTGATCAAATTCATATCACAAAATCTGATAAAAGCAGATGTCTAATACAAGTCAGAGTCGGGCTGGGGGATAACAGGAAGTTAAACTTTACAACTTTGATATAACCACGCAGGCTGTCATTTGACTGCTCAGAGACTGAGCTGGTTATTTATTGACCCAGCATGCATAAAACGTCTCCGTGAATGATTAACAAAAGTCAAAGGCTGCAAAATAAAGATGGCCAAGTTGAAAATAACTGTTCAAGTTTCAGCTTCAGATTAACAATAAAAAATAAAAAAAAAACTGAAGGAGGAACGAGCTGGACGAGTTTCTCCTCCTCTGAGTAAATGAATGAACTCAAACTGACTGAAGGATATCGCTGGACATCGAGTTTTCTATTGATCCGTGTCGAGGAGCGATCCTTAAACTTTCCTATAGTTATAAATTAAATCGATGGGTAATTAGCCTCTTGTTGAAATTACTTCTGTCTTTAGCTCCGACACCGGCTGGTGCCATTTTTTTTGTTTCCCGTTTGTAGCCGTCACTTGTGAGCGCATGTGTTGTGCAACACCGTTCTAAAAATTGTAACTAGAGCTGTAAAAAATGAAGACGTTTAGCAGGGCTGAAATTAAACTCCTTGTGATCCTGAAGCCTTCGACTCCTGTGCAGTCACTGAAAAGGAGCTGAGGAGTTGGTGTCTTCTTTCACTCGTATAAAACAAAAGCTGCTGATTTATGGTGAAACTGTAGAGCAGCATGATGCAGGATGTTTTTTCTTTCTCATAACACTTTGATCTTTCTCTTCCAAAGAACATGACAAACTGCTTGTGCGATCATTTGATAACTCTCTGTCACCAATAATAGAATCACATGTTGGTGGAAGAAGTTTTGATCATTTGGTTTATGTTGGCTTTTTTCTTCAGAGGCAAGAGTTGTATACAGAAACTGTCTAAACAGAGTGTTGGTTGACTTGGCTGAAATTTTGTAAAGAATCTGAAACTGAGTTAAAATTAAAAGCAGAACACTGGCTAGAACCTAAAGCAGCTAAAGGAGAGTTAGAAGCTAAAGTAGCTAAAGGAGAGTTGGAAGATAAAGCAGCTAAAGGCTAGTTAGAAGCAAAAGTAGCAAAAGGAGATTTGGAAGCAAAAGGCAAGTTGGAAGCCAAAAGTGGCTAAAGGTGAGTTGGAACCAAAAGTGGCTAAAGGTGAGTTGGAACCCAAAGTGGCTAAAGGCGAGTTGGAAGCCAAAAGTGGCTAAAGGCGAGTTGGAAGCCAAAAGTGGCTAACGCATTTTTGAAAATCTTGACCTTAGATGCCGTTATCTGTGTTTACACAGATCATCAGAACCTTGCAAAGTTTTCGTACCACTATGTGCTAAGTTACTAATGTGTAGGTGTATGATTCTCCATCAAAATTTTGTTGCTGTTCATAACCGTTATTATGGCAATGACACTAAAGTATAAGTATAGTTAGAAGTTAAAGTAACAAAATGAGAGTTAAAAGCTAAAGTAACAAAGATAATTAGAAGCTAAAGTAGCAAAAGGCTAATTAGGAGCTAAAGTAGAGGACAACAATGTTTTGGAGGAACTGAAGAGAAATGTGTATTTCTATGTGGAAAAATATTTGGAAATAAATCCAACATTTTTCAGTCAGGTCATCTGGACAGTTTCTTTTTTTGTGTTTATCACAAGCAGAACTGGTTTGTTCCACTTTGGAGTAAGCTGTTGGGGGAAGAATCAGTTTTGTTGTGCGTTTCCTTGACTGATGAAGCCTTCCGGATTGAAGGCGAAACGTTTCAGCACAAAAAAACGAAACTGTCCAGATGACCTGACTGAAAAATGTTGGATTTTTTACCTGGATTATTGAGCATGGACTTATTTGTAAATAAAGTTAAATTTTTTGAGAAGTATAAAAGTTACAAAAAACAAGTCATAGCACCCATCTCCTGAATGCTCTGAACATTTACAGAAAAATGAAACCAGGGAAACGATGTGTGAATGCTGAATTGACTTGCACACAGTATTTGAATATTGAAAATGAGTACTAGTATGATATTCCAAATGATTAGCTCTTATTGTTGTAACCTTTTTTTAAATTATTCTGAGTCTGCAACTTCGTGTTTTCTGCAAAGATGAGTCAGAAGCTGAATGTTCACACTCTACAGGACTATCATCAACACTGGTCGTGTAAATGGCCCCACTTTTTAAGTCATGTTGTTTTTGTTTAACTCTATTTATATTGCCACTTGATTTCACTTCCTGTCCTGAAAAGTATTTTTTGTGCATGTTTTGTTCCTCAGGCTGGCAGCCCGACTTCAGTCAATGCTCCATGCAGTTTTTCAAGGACATCAGTTTCCCCCTCGAGCCAGGACATCTGCAGGTACAAACCTCTTCAGCCTCGGTTCACTCCTACAATCTGTGTTTACAGTGATATGAACACCGGAGGGCCATAAACTCAGTCTACATGTCTGTCCGTTACTGCTCAAGTTCTTATCAGTGGGTGATGTTTGGCTTCCCCTTTAGCGTTCAGATGTACACATGGGAGCAGCCCTGACAGCACATGAGCTGTAAAATAGATTTCCATGTTGGAGCAAGGGTCTATTTGGTTTTGTCAGGTTAAGCAAATGTCTTTTATTCTCCTCTGTTTGAATTTCTCCATTTAAAATGCATGATGTCTTGTCCTCTTTTTCTTTGTCCTTCCCTGAACCCTCTCATCTTGTCTTCATCTGTCAAATGATTGTGCCATAAAATCAAACACGCCGATACTCTGACGGCAGCGTTCACAATCCGGACGTTCTGAAGCAGACCACGGTGGTTCTGCTGAACTCAAACGGTAAAAGCTGTTCAGATGGGATTTCAGTGACCACCGTCTGCACGAACGCTACGCCGGCCTCAAAGTTCACCAAACAGCGAGACTGGCTCTCTCTACTCCGTCCAGCCCCCGTCAGCATCCCACCCCGCAGCTCGCTCAGGTTTTCCCTGTCGCTGAACGATGTGGGCCAGCGTGTGGACAGTCTGTGCCGCGGGCTGCACTTCATCGATCGCACGTGCTCCGAGGGAGAGCTGGATGTGAAGCCTGAACCCGATCAGAGTTCTGACTTCGAGCGAAAGGTGCACACGCTCAATGGCAATCAGGTCACCGCCCCCGCGCACCAGAACCAAAACGCTCCGCCTTCAAAACACACGCACCTCATCCCCTCCCTCACCAACGACTACAATTACATGTTGAGCATCCCCTCCAGCAGCTGTCTTCCATCCGACCCGACCGCCACCACTCCCTTTATTCCTAACGTGCACCTTCAGCCTCCTCCCGCCCCGGGCCCGCACTTCCTCCGTCGTCTCCTCCCCTTTTCTCGATCCTCTACCTCGGCCAGCCTGCAGTGTTCCGAGCTGGGCAGCTACGCTTCCCACCTCCACATCGCCAAGTCCTCTAGCACTCTGCTGGAAGGCACCGAGTCACGCTTCCCCTCCGACGACCCGCTGGGAGACGACGACGTGTTTGAGGAGGATCAATCCAGATCATCTTCGAGGAGAACAAAGCGGCCACCGACCCAAGGAACGGTCAGCGTGTTGGGGTCGGGTTTTCCCCTAGCCCCCCTGTGCTATATGGATGAGGACAATGACCTGGAGTGCTGCTCATCCCCTTTGTCTGAAAAAACACCGCTCTCACCCTTTTCTGTAACCGGGGACTGCTGCAGGTGGGTGACTGTCTGGATGGTGTAATCCTGTGACTTGGTGAAGCCTAGACCACCCCTGTACAGTAATGTGGCAGTGACCCCCCCCCCCCCCCCTCCCAGAGCCCCCTGGAGTAGTAGAGAGCACCTCCTCCTGTATTGTAACCACCCAGCAAATCACTTCCACCACCGCAGTATTAGCCCTCTGAAGCCCTGCTCCATGTTGGAGATGCTAATTAGAAGATCCACACACACCACCTCACCGTCCACCTCCTCTCCACCTGTCAGAATCCAATCCCCATGCGTGTGTCTAGAACAGGAATTTAACATAACGTCATTTCACATCATTTAATTTCACCACACTGTTATCACAGTCCGTGTTTTTTCCACTGTGCTGTCAGGCTGTGTTTTTAAAATAATTTTTCATTTTTGACTAGATCGATGACGCAGTAAATTGTCTCATACAGGCTGCGCAAAAAAACCACCTGATTGATTTTACTCAGATGCCTGAAGCTTTGCGGTGGGAATGGGCGCAGGGATGTTAAGGAAGAGAGAGAGGGCGAGAGGTTAGTGTTGAAAATTTAATGGCTCTGAGGAATGCGTTTCTGTGTGAGAAGCAGAGGTTGAACGTGGCCAGTAGGTTCAAGTATCTGAGTATCTGAGTATCTGTGCGTGTCCGCCTCGACTGAGCCAAGCTGTGCACACCGGATGGATCACGTGTTGTATTTGATGACACATCAGGTCTTGGCTTTATAAACCTGCTGAAACAGTGGTGGTGTGCCTTAAGTGAGAATTACAGTATATGCTCCTTGTGGTCACAGCATCCATCTGTAAATACCATATTTTCCAGCATATAAGTTGCATCAGTCAAAAAAAAGCATTATGAAGAGGAAAAAAACATAAGTCACTTCTGTTTATAAGTCACATTTATTATGCATTTATTTAATGGTCGAAACGGCTTCATTTTGCCTGGGCGGCACGGCACCATCTATCCATTGCGCCCGGAGCCGCTAGCTCTCCAGCGTTCTTCCACCTGCACCAGCTGAGTGAAGCGAACATGCACAGGAGGACTCGCTGTCTACTGTCGCAGTTCTTAGAAATTTAAAGAGTCAGTCAAAAATTGCTTTATGAATATGGAAAAAAAAAATGTATATGAGTCGCAGAACTGACAAATCTCTGCAAAAAACTGACTTATACGCCAGAAGATGCGGTATGCCAGCTTGCAGCAGTTCACACTTCTTAGCTCATTTCATTCTCCGATACATCTGTTCTCTGCCTCAGGTGCATTTTGTGCATGTACCTTTCGTGCTGCTTACATTATACCTGTTTATTCCCACATGAGCTTTAGGCTTCCAGAGAAACATAAGCTCAGATTTGGCACAGTGTGGGCCAGAGATCAAGAGACAGATTATTGGCTTCAAATAGCCTCAGAACGTGCACACAAACACGCCGTGCCAGCTCTGTCAGCTGGCCTGAAGCGTGAGCTCAGACCTGAGCCTGACTTCACCTGCACAAGCACAAGGAAGATTTCCCTCTCTCACGTAGGCGTAACACATTAATCATTAACCAGCTCTTTTTTTTTTTGTTGCCAACAGTTTGAAAGTCCGATTTTTAAAAGTATGTTTTTAGGAGAAACGAGGCAAAATCACAGCTTTAGTTTTAATTATGAAACGCATGAAATGTACAGTTTAAAACTTTATTCTGATCAGGTGGCTCAGTTGGTAGAGCTGTTGCCTCTCGGCGAGAAGGTCGCCGGTTCAGATCCCGGTCCGAGACCTTTTTGGGTGGAGTTTGCATGTTCTCTCCGTGCATGCGTGGGTTTTCTCCAGGTACTCCAGTTTCCTCCCATAGATGAAAAACATGCAAGTTAGGCTGATTGGTGACTCTAAATTGTCCCTAGGTGTGAGTGAGAGAGTGAATGGTTGTTTGTCTGTGTCCCTGTGGTGGACTGGAGACCTGTCCAGGGTGTCCCCCGTCTCTCACACAGTGATAGCTGGACATGGTCACCAGCGACCCTCGCAATACGAAAAAGAAAAAGCAGGTAAAAGATTATGGATGTATGCAGGGCTTAATTTGAGCCAGATCCTGCCGGAACAAGATCTGGGAACTCTTATTTTGACGGAGTGCGTTCCAATAACCATTTGCTTGGATCCTGTAACTTTGTCTTACTAATAATAACGTTAAGGACAAATATGACTGCCTTAAACGAATAAAACTTATATTGGATATGTCAACTGAAAATTATTACACAAACACTAATTTTAAACACAACAGCCACTTACAAGCGTAAAACCTGCCCCTTAAAGTAGCATTTCCACGTCTACCCTAAAAAAAATCTCCGCCCTTAAGAGTGGTGGGGGTGAGTGCCGAGCTAACCAGACAGTCGTACATGGGCAGGAGCTCACAGGCAGCCGCCGTGAACAGACGGAGGAGACGCCTGTAGTTTTCACATGTGGAGTCGGACAACATCGAGCAGAGACCGTATCAGGCTCGGAACCATAAAGTACGGTGTGTGTGTGTGGGGGGGGGGGGGGGTGCTTGACAGAAACTGGCCACCCCCCGCCAACCCGCCCTCTTTTTGCGTTCCCTGGCATCGATTGTTTTTACAAAATGAGCAATGGATGGATAGATGAATGAATGTTTACATCAGTATATACAAAGACTTAAAATTGGGAATTAGGTTATATGTTTTATATATGATATATTTATTTTATTTATTTATTTATTTATTTATTTGAATGTTTTGGCAAATTATTAAATCGATAAAGGTAAAGGTTTTTCCACTCAAATAAAAAAAAAAACATTTTTTAAAATCTACTGCTGGTAGTTTTTAAGCACAAAGTATTTCCGTGCATCTGTTGAACATTGTGTTTTAAGCCTTTTTATTATGACCGACAACATAAAAAATGTTGGTGTTTGCGAGTCTTTATCTCTAACATTATTATTACCATTGGTATTTTACTTCTGCTATTCTATTAAAGTTACTGTTTCAAATGATCTCGGTTGTGTAAAGTGACGCAGAACATGAAGAAGATGTACAGGAAGGAATGGAGAGATGCTCGGTCTGCAATCCTTATGCCGCTAATTCAGATTTAAAGGAACGGATTGAGGGAATACCACAGTCACTCTCTGAACGCACCAGAAACTGGGAAAGAAAAAAAACTGGAAGAAAGTGAACGCCTCAGCAGGGTGGTACTGTACTCTCTCCGAGCTTGATTCCCTCTCCGCTTGTGGTGCTTCTGATCTCTCGGTTCCGTTTCGCTTCTCACATTTTTAAGTTGACATACTCCAGCGTTTGTTGTTAACTGATGGTGAGAGGTGTGTTTGTGGCCACTCGAGTGACGCAAATTAAATTTAAATTCTCCTTGCTCAACAGCGCCGGGAACAAGACGTTGCGGCTGCTGAGACAAATCCTGTTAATTTTACCGCAAGACGGTTTGTGATTATTATGCTAATCAGAAGATGCACGTCGCCTTGGACGACAAAGTCAGAATTTGTGAGATTGTAATCTTTAAAGTCCTCTTTGATGCAGATATCCATACGATTTGGTTTGTTTTTAGCAGATGAAGCCTCCATGAAATTTAGCAAAGAAACTGTCATTTCTCAGCAGAAGTGTGTTTTCTGATCGCATTATGTTGCTTCTTGTGGAGGGATTTCATTGTGGTTATATTTAAAAATGTGCATCAGCATGAGAATACTTTGTCATATATCTGTTCGTGTCAACACAGTCCGTTTCCCTCAAGCTTATTTTTGTATTTTAATTGAAATGGGAGTACAGTAAACTGTGGGCTGAGAGCCGGCAGATCTTATTCATACAAAAATACCACCTCTTTTCTTTAATCTTCCTCCTCCTCAACTGGAAACGACCTATTTTTACTCTCCTTTGTTCACTTCGTCTTTTAATCTTGTGATGCTCGGTCCAGATCAGTGGACGCTGCAAATAGACGTGATCATGCCTACTCACATTCTGACATGTGTGGGTGCATGTGCTGCTTGGTGCAGTCTTATCCTCTCCTGAACTGAGATAAAGGCAATCCTATCTGAACACAGCGCTCCCGTCATCGTCTCCTACTCTTTTATTTTTGCTTCCCATCCGTTGTTTTCTTTTTTATTATTATTTTTCCACCTCAGAGTCGTCACTGTTCTCTGCAACTCACAGGAGAAACTACAACTGGAGGCATTCTTGGTGTGTGCATAAACCGGCCTGAGCACCTCGGTAGAATAAAGATTTTAAATAATGCATTTCTTGCCCTTTATTTAAAACACACACAAACAAACAAACAAAAGCCTTTATGGGAACACTCCGTGCATTTTAGTTTACAGTTCAGTAGTTTAAACTCCCTCTATATTCCCTCATCTCCCCTGATCTTTAATCAAGGTGATATTGGGGTGGAAAAAGCAACAATTGATCTGTGTCATTATGATCACAGATTTATATATTTTACATATACCAGTATTTACACTGCTTTGTCAAGTTTGGGTAAGACTAGAGAAATTGCATTTCCTGTGAAAATGCATTGTGTGAATGCTTATTGCTGAAAAACTTGCTGGAAAAACGGCTAAAATTAGCTAAAAACATGCTGAAATGTAGCTGAAAAAGAATAAGCCAAAATTAGCTGAAGAAATCAGAACATATATTTTCTTAATTAGGTTTAAGTAAGCAGAAGTTGGCACAAAAATTAGAAAATTAGTTCAAAAGAAGCTGAATTTTACAAAAAAAAAAAAAAAAAAGCTGAAAGGCAGAAAGAAGCTTAAAATACCCAAAGGAAGTGGAAGGAATGAGCTAAAAAAATGTGGAATTGGCTGTAAAAGCTAAATTTAGCATAATCTGCTAAATAGTAGCTGAAATAGCAGAAAAAGTTGAAACTAGCAGGAAAAAAACCTGAAGGGAGCATAACGAGCTGAAATTAGCAGACAAGTTTTTCATTTGCCCTTTATTTATACAGGTAGTCTCATTGAGCCACGAGAACTCATTTTCAAGAGAGACCTGTTTAGGGAGCAGATTAATTAGGATTAGATTTAGACCCCAGAATTAGATTAGAATTAGGATTAGATTAATATAATTATTCAAGTTAGTCTGAAAGTAGAAATTACCATGAAAATTTTGAAATCTGAAAACAGCTGAAATTAGCTAAAATGCTAAAAAAAAAAAAAGCTGAAAGGGTAGAACAAGCAACAGAAGAAAGCAGAAAGAACACATTTACTGATAGAAGCAGAAATGAGCACAAAAAGTGGAAATTTTCTGAAAAAAAACCTGAAATGAGCCAAAAGCGACCCCCGTGACCCAAAATGGAAGAAGCGAGTAAAAGATAATGGATGGATGAGCTAAAAGTAGCTGAAAAGTAGCTAAAAAAAAAAAAGGCAAAAAGAAGCTGAAATTACAAGAAAGAAGCAGAGAGGACACATTCCTGCTGAATTAGGCTGAAAAAGTTGAAATAAGTGCACAAAAATGTGGAAATTGTTAAAGGCTTAAATTAGCATAAAAACAGCTTTAAAGTAGCTGAAATGGTAAAAAAAAAAAAAAAAAGAAAGAAAATAAAGCTGAAACTTGCAGAAATAAGCTGAAAAGAGCCTAACAGGTTGAAGTCAGAAGAAAGAAGTTAGCACACACATTATGTAATTATCAGATGGAAGCTGAAGGTAGCACAAAACAGCTGAACAAACAGCTGAAAGTAGCAGAAAATTGTTTCAATTTGCACAAGGAAGCTGAAAGAAGCTGAACCAGAACAAAATGTGAAAGGAGCAATAAAAGGTTGTAAACAGATCTAAAGATCTGAAAATGAGCTAAAAAAAAAAAATAGCAGAAAAGTCTAAATATTTCAAAAAGTTAAAGTTGCACCAATACCAAAAGTCATAGCACCCTTCTGAAAGAGCTGAACTTTTGATGCATGAACTGTTGAAATAGCTTGAAAACTGCTGGACGAGAATCAAGCCGAAAATGTACGGAAGAAAAATGGATCACAATAGTGTGAATGATTCTTCAGCGTTCACACTAGTTTGAGAGAGACATTAAAATGTTACTTTAACTGTGATGGTCCATTCCTTTCTTTTTTTTTTTTTTCTTAGCATTACTGAATCCAATTAACTTACTTGTGAAGATGTGCTCATTATCTCAAATAATTGCAAACTTTCTTATCACCTACTGCTCAGAACAGGCAGTGAAACACAGTATGTACCTTTTTTCAGGGTTGGGTGACAAATGGCTCCAACCAGAGTTTTCTTGTCAGACATTGCTCGTTTTTCATCATTACTAAAAAGTGATCAGTTTCTCTGTTACAAAAAAAAGAACTGCAGTCCTTGAAGGTACAGGGTCAGACACCTAATTTAAAAAATATAATGTCCCATAAAAGATAATGAACTACACCTTCAGCTGCTTAAAGTCCAAGTTTGTGGGGTCAGAAATAGTGCATCCAAATCAGACTATTCCTTCTGGGGGTCTAACTTGTTTCATCAGCGAGTGTGTGACGTGATGAGCCGGATGCTGCAGGAGTTTGATATATTCTGCAACTGTTGTAAGTTTTTTTTACTTTAGAGGATATTGTGTTTAACATGTTTTTACATTAGCTGGTCTTCTTTAATTCTCTAACAGAGATTTAGTTCACGGTAAATCACATGTGTGAGACGACATAAAAATGGAGATGTTTATAAAAATGATAGAACATAAAAGAAAAAGAAAAGCCGCATTAAACAGTCTATTAAACAAGATTTCTTGCATCTTAGCAGTTTATGGTGAGAAGCTGAAATACATATGTTTTAAGGGGTAAAATTACCTTTTTTTTTCTTAAGACGCTCATCAGCCGTGAGGCTTATTCACAAGCATTATTATTAATTTGTATATTGTTTCAAAAGCTGGTTCCCCACAGTCTGCTCAAAACAATTCTGGCCCTTAAGCAAGTTTTCTTGTTGAATCTTAATGCATTGGCTGCAGGGGTCTTAAGTTACTGCTATAAAGTGTATAAAATATTATTTACACCGGCCATATTTTCCCTAAAGCTGTAACAAGTGTGGAAATATGCGCTTTAGGGGCATGTTTTTCTTAATATTCCTACTGAAGTGCGCAAATGTCCTGGTATGAACCGTATCAGGAGAAATGGTCTTTGTCTCGATGAAGCGGTTTTACTTTTTGTTTTGTTTAGACTGCGCTCTTGTTTTCCACAGGATTTGTCACTGTGAAGGGGATGAGGAGAGTCCTCTGATCACACCGTGCCACTGCACAGGCAGCCTGCGTTTTGTCCACCAGGCCTGTCTGCAGCAGTGGATAAAGAGCTCCGACACGCGCTGCTGTGAGCTCTGTAAATACGAGTTCATCATGGAGACGAAGCTCAAACCACTGCGCAAGGTAAGACTCTGCACCAGTTGTCACTCCATTCTAGTTATTGAATTCCCGTGGGTGAATCCCAAGTTGCTAAAAAATAATAATAAATAAAACGCCTGAAACGGTCTCTAATCTGTCACACAGATGACGCAACCATGACTCCAAGCTTTGAAGTGGTTTTCATGGGCATAACACGGGGGGGGGGGGGGGGTCCATTTCAAATGGTTTGGGTGAATCCGGCTTCGTTAAAGGGTGTTATCAATCGCTGTGGCCTGGAGATAACAGGGCACTAATTAAAATTCTTCCATCCCTCTTTACCGCCACAAAAGGCCTTTAAAGAATGGCTCTTCTTTTAATAGCCTCTAAATCTCAGGGGTGAATATTAAAATATTGAAGATGAAAGGCGGAGCTTTGCTCTGGGTGTGGGCTGTCTGTCAAAGATCACTTTTGTCATGCTGCGAAAAAAATCACTTTCAAATCTAACTGAATGTACAATGACATCATTTCACCCCTGAAATTATTACTGTATTTTTCTCCATATTAGTCGCATCTTTTAAAAATAAATAAATTGCAAGTCCTGCGATTTATACACCGAAGCGACTAATGCACTTTTTTTTCCCTCCATTTTTATAACCCAATTATTGGATCTGACGAGTTCTTTCATTCTGACATAAAAAATATTAAGCATTACCATTTGCAGCCGCTAGAGGGCCCTTGAGCATTATGGCAAGCCAAGTGTCTCATTAATAGGTAGAAGTGGCTATTAATGAGACACTTGGCTTGCCATACAAAGTCACCTTTGTCTCGCTCTGGAACTCCTGGAGCAAACGTCAAATCAGCTGCGTTTCACCGCACCGCCCGGTTGAAATGCAGCTGATCTGACCAGTAAAGTGCATTTATTAAGGAAAAGCTCAACTGAGACACAGCTTTACTATAATGTCGAGCAAAGAAATAATTGCTTTTAAGTGTTAATCTTGTTAAATTCTTGTTAAAGTCCTCCCGTGTGCGCTCCCACGGCCGCCATTTTGGCAGCCAATCGATTTTTGGCACAACACCGGCCCAGGTTTCCGGGTGGTCAGCGGTGACTCATAACAAGCGCGACGCATCATGGCGAATCGACTTGTTTGTTTTTTCCCACTTTATTAGACCTGTTGGGACTGATGCGACGTGTACGGCAGAAAGTACGGTAGTAATGGATCTAGGAGCTGGGAGAAGCCACACGGCTTGTTTACAGGAATAATTTAATGTTGTGTTGAGCTTTTTTTATTTTTTTGTATTGCTGGGTCTTTTTGTAGCAGGATGAATTGTTCAGCGAACGACTGACAAAGTGCTGCTGTGTTAACCGAGCCGCCTGGCAGGCAGCTGGGTGCAGCATGCCACTCTTCTGCATCCTATTAACCCTGCCAAGAAGTGCAGCGTAACACTGGATCTTTATCGCAGCAGCTCAACGGCTTCTATTAAATATTTATCTCTTGGCTGCTCCCTAAAACGGCCAAGAAAGCAAAAACACTTTCTAAACTGTTTAAATGAAGTGTTTACGAGTCTTAAATTGTTCTTTTGTCCTCTCTGTGCTGCAGTGGGAGAAGCTACAGATGACGGCGAGCGAGAGGAGGAAGATCATGTGTTCGGTAACCTTCCATGTCATCGCCATCACCTGCGTGGTGTGGTCACTCTACGTTCTTATCGACAGAACAGCGGAGGAAATCCGTCTAGGTCAGCACACACTCACACGCACACCATCAGCATAAAGACGGTGTCTGTATTAGGCTCAGGGCTGTGTTGACTGGGTGTCATTTATTCAACCAGTTCACAAGTTTCTATGGAGGCTGAAAAGATTATAAGAAGCCTTTGATTTTTGTTGCTATTTTCTTTGAAAATTTATTTTTGGTTCACTTTAATTTCATACATGTGATGTTGTTTTCATCCATTTTCTTTGCTCGCTTGTTCTTTTTGGATTATGGGAGCTGCTGCTGCTTATATTCAGTTATTGTGTGAAAGGCGAGGCCTTTGTAGACGAACCTGCGACCTCCTTGCTGTGAGGCGACGGCGCTAACCACTGCTCCTCCATGTTGCAGAAACGTATTTATATTTCATGTTCATCCCGTACGTTTATGAGGGATCAGTTTAGTCTTCAAGTTAGCAGCTGGTTAGTTTAGCATAAAGGCTCCAAACCTCCAGGCTTCTGCCCAAATGGTTAAAAATAACTTGGACCTTCTAATAAATGTCTTGTTAGCTCAGTGTGCCAAACGAGGTGTAAAATGTTTCACACAGTGCTGGACTGTTACTTCAGTTAGCTCTTTGGGGACTTTTCTTAAGGTTGCTACGCGACCAAGAAATGATTTGAGGGAATTAAGTAATGAAGTTGTGTAAAATAAATAGTTTTTCATGTGCTTATTGTTGGATTTTCTTTACTTTTTAGCTGTTTGGCCGGCTCAGCTTACATAAGACATGAAGGTATCGATAGGCCTGTCGCAATAAATCAGTTAATCGCATGAGAAGTTACAATTATCAGCCTCGTTTTCATTCACTGGCTTTGTTTCTTCGTGTCTCTTTCTACTGAAGACACTGGACGACAAAAGGCTCAACTCCGGTGCTCCTCACTGACCCCTCCCTTTCTCTTTTCTCTTTATAATCTGTTTTAACCGTCCAAGATCGTGTTTTTGGCAGCTAAGCTACGAGCTAAGCTAACAGGCCGACCTCGGGAGAAACCTCCGTCTTGTCCGAGCTCCAAAACTCACGGTTGAAACCTGTGCCTTTGTCTAAAAAGTTGTTTTTCTCTGCAAAAAGAAGCTGAGAACTTGTTTACTGATTTTTTTTAAAAAAATTTAATTAAATGCTATGTGTGAAAAATGCTAAAGAGCTCAAACCACACCGAGCGTCCGCCATTTTGAGAACTGAATAAAGGAGAGATGGCTCGTGTCACGTCAAGAGGCCTCCCTCCCATTTTTCTTTGAGATGCTGCTTGCTCCCTCACTATCCATCCTGCCTTTCAAACACACTTATACTGCCATCAGGTGGTCAAAAAAGGTACTACGCACAAAATTAACCAAAATTTCTTCTTAATTTGACAATAATTACTAATTATTGTCAAATTTCAAACAATATTATCGTTTATTGCAATAATTTCTGAGACAATTAACCGCCCAGCAAAATTTGTTATCGTGACAGGCCTAGGTATCGATCTTCTGATCTAGGATCATTAATAAAATAACTAAAATGTTTGAGTTTGTCTGAACTCTATGAATTAACCGGCGCCTGAGCGAAGGCTGTAACGGACTCTTCTCTCATCCATCCGGACCAAAGCAGCACTTGATGGCAGCGAGCGCTCTTGTAGTCGGGTCTTAAAAAGAAAATGGGTGCTTTAATGAGTCGTCGTAGCATTTGATGAGTCCGTCTGCTGGGCCTATAAAACAACCACAGAGCTGTAGTACAGATGGAGGAGCAGGCTGTTCCTGTTCAGCCCAACCTGATGATTCAGACTTGCCAGAGTCCCTGAGGACCGTCAGGTTCAGTCGCCATGGTGATGTCTAATATTGTCTCTGCAGTCCTGCACATCTTCTGTCATGTTCTTTTTATTTTTCTGTTTCAGTTTGTTTAAAAATCTACGAGGACATATGTGACATTGCAGGCGTGTTGGATTTAAACACCTCGACCCGTTTCCTTGTGTGTTTTAAACTTGTTAAACAGATTTGCATGATGATCTGCCGTTGTTCGACTGCAATGTTATTTTCTGGTCGTTTCTTTGTGTCTTTTGTAATCCATGATACTTACACTTTCTTTACTCATGCAGCCGGAAGAATCCCAGGTAAACATTTCAACTTTGGCCTTTTGACTTTTCAAAGTGTGTGTTTTTCTCTTCAGCCTTTCTGTCAGTTGTTTTCCCCGACTGCACTTACTGTATGTTCGTCCCCTTGACCGTCATGATTTAAGTATCAAAGTAATGCATCATCCGAAAAGGGTTTTCTATATTCACATCGCCGCCTTGAATGTCCTGGAAAGGGCCAAAAAAAGTGGTTTGTTTTCTGTGTTAGGCCGTGGAACTGAGGGCTCCTTTTCAAACTTACATGTAGCACATTCATAATCAGAACATGACGTGGAGCTGCTTTCAGAAAGATGGGCACACGTGTAAACACCCGACATCTCTTCCTAGTCTGAATCAGGCAGGTATGATTTTAAACCTGGTTGACCGCCATCAAATGCAGCAGGTTTTATAACTTATACTTTATCGCGAATGATATAATTTAATTATTATTGATGATAAATTAGTGATAAGTGCTACATGAGACGGCTGAACAACTTGCAAATTAAATTACCTGCTTTGCTTCTTTGCCAAGCATTTGTATAATTTGTTTTTGTAAGGCTCCACAAAGAAGCTTAAAAAGAGCAGCTGGCAGAAAATATGCAACTCCTGGAAACATAAAATGTTTTACTACAGCCATTGGTTTAAGTACTTTTTTTAAGTTACTTTCAATGTTTCCAGTACAGCTATATGTTTGTTTTTTCTAGTTTGAAACATTCAAAGTGTTTTTTGGCATTATTCAACAGTAATGTTGCAGAGATGAAAGGAAAAATGTAAAGTAGAGACAAAGATGGAGAGTAGTGTTTAACAGGTTCACAGTTTATTACAATTTGAGCCATGTTTTTATTGAATTGGGCAATATTCTCATGCACAACAATGTTGCATTTGGCTCGTTTTACACTAAAGTGGCACCAATGTAAAGGGTTCACCACTCTAATATTGGTTAAAACGGAATTATGAAATGCCAGAAAATGTATTATCTCATACACGTTTTGAGTTTTAGAGATTTTGACTCTGATGATGTAATCCTGGACACAATAGTTCATAAACATGTACGGATAAAATTATCTTCAACCATGTAAAGGGTGGAAATTTGCAAAAGTTAAAATGTTCAGCAGAATTTATCTTTTCTGGATAAACAATACATTAATAAACATCAGATTTTCCACACAATGTACTGCATAATAAACATAATGCATAATATACAATGTATGGAAGGCCAAAAGTGCCACGTTCTATTAAAATAAAAACAGCTTTAATTATAACCTACATATAGTATAGAAATATTTAACTTTATAAAACTATTTTTAAACTATTTACCTGGACCATATCTGAATATTTAATTATTTTACTGTTCTGTGCGGCAGTGTATCGTAAAATTATTTAATCGTTTAGCCTTGCCTTTTGTAGTGGGCGGAGCTAATGCTGATCTGCTTTAAAGTCCATCGTTCTGAACATGGCAACTTTCTTTTATGGATATTTTGTATGAGCTCTCTTTTGATTGCTAAAAACATTTTGGACCAGGCTGATGTCGAGGAACTAACTTGATTTTTGCTGCCAACTGCATTACGCAGCCAACAAACATAACAATAAATGTTGCCACCTTATGAAATTACCATATTTTTCAGACAATAAGGCGCACTTAAAGTCCTTTAATTTTCTCAAAAATCAACATTGAGCCTTATAATCCGGTGTGCCTTGTGTATTAATTCTGGTTCTGCTTACTGACCTCGAACCGATTTTATGTGGTGCACGGCGTTAGTTTTGCTTAACGCGCCTTATAATCCAGTACGCCTTATTATTAACCTTTATTTAACCAGGTAATTCCCACTGAGATCACAGGTTTCTTTTGTAAGGGAGGCCCGGGCCTGAAGCAGCCTAACATGCATGATTTTGGTCTGTGGGAGAAAACCGGAGTTCCTGGAGAAAACCCACGCAAGCACGAGAAGAACATGCAAACTCCACACAGAAAGAGCCCAGATCCAACCGGGGATTGAACCCAGGACCTCCTTGCTGTGAGGCAACAGTGCTAACCACTGAGCCGTCGTGCTGCCAAATGTATAAAAACGCACATAATGTTGTGCCTTGTAATCCGGTGCGCCTTGTAGTTTTAAGAATACTGTAGTTTCCCATTAAATCCCATTCTCAGGGATCGATTGGTCTAGACTTTGTGTGTTATGTGATGCACTGCAACACAAACATTTTACTGAATATGTACACTTTAAGTACAAATGAATTTCTATTTTAATTGCCTAATTGTTTTTAGTTATTTTGAATTCCAATTTTTAAATAAAATATAAATGTGATTCTAAAAATCACGTGTTTTATGCAGCACTTTTGTCCCTTCATACAAATGTTTTCTATGAAATGTTACTATAAATCTGTTTCACCTGCTTTAGGCTTGCTGTAGTTAATCAAACCACCCTTTTCTCTGTTTCTTCATTTTGTCATTTTTACCTTCAGAACCCGAGCACAAACATATTTTACGATGTTTCTAAGCACTTTTGTTCTGATTTATTGTGAGTCTTAATTTTTTTCTGTCTGGTTGTGTTTGACTCGTGCACACGTTTCTCTTTGTCTCCTCTCTGTCAGGAATCCTAGAATGGCCTTTCTGGACCAAGCTCGTGGTGGTGGCCATCGGCTTCACGGGCGGACTGGTTTTCATGTACGTCCAGTGCAAAGTCTACATCCATCTATGGAAAAGACTCAAGGCTTACAACCGGGTCATATACGTGCAGAACCGGCCAGACACGTGTAAAAAGCTGGCGCTGGAGAAGCCGCCTCTCCTGGAGCCGAATCTGGAGAACAAGGAGGCGCTGGCCCTCACCCAGTCAGACACAAACTCCTCCCAGCACACAGAGACTGACGAATACAGTATGGAGGTGCTCCACGTCTGACAGCGAGTCCATTTCATTGCCTGTCCTGCTCATGCACACACAAACGGTGACGAGTAGCAGTCGTGGGAGCGCAGTCCGTCTCATCAGACGATCCTCTGTCCTCCTGTGACTCTACCTTCTTCTGTCCACCTTCCACTTTTCCTCTCATCCTTTCTTTCCCAGGACCGGACCGTTTGGACCAACTTCTCTAAATGCAAGGATGCAAACACACGCACTCTGATGTGTACACCTTCAGATGAGCAGGACTAATACAGACTCTCAAAACGCTCACACATGGACTACATGGATCTGATTTTTTTTTTTTTTTTTTTTTACTTATGGGTTGATTTTAAATGTGTTTTTTTTATTTTTAGTGAGTCTTGGGCTAAGCTGGATCAATGTAGCGTCATACATCGAATCTCTGGGACATTCCAGATACTGCCATCTCCAGTCCGGTCTGAGCTTGACTGGACCTTGAACACACATTGAAGCACTTTTATTTTTCAATCCCTGCAACAAATCCCCTCCCTTCCTCAAGTTCTTTCCCCCTTTTTATTTTATTTTTGTTTTATTTTAGAATGGCCTAAATCTTGTACATTATTCAGCGGGGAAAGCACAGTACAACTTTTCCTCAAACGCACCTACTTTTACAGATTACCCTCCCCTTGGATGACAAAAATAAAAGGTTTTAAAATGGAAACATGCTGAAGGAAACAGAAAAGCTGAGTTGGGATCATCAGTCACCTGACTACTTTTCACCAACAAAACTTTCTGAAGGCTTTGAGAATGTAATCTTTTTTTAAGTGATTGAAAACATAAATAAAATAAAATAAAAATGCTTTTTTCACTAGTAAAGAAACTGCAAGACTAATTTCCAGGTCTTGTGAAGGTAATGTGAGCCTTTGAGCAGTTACAGCATTATGCTTTTGTTTGTTTGTTTGTTTGTTTCCTGTCTTGTGAATGACACAGTATTTACAGTGTATTATTCCACGTCCAGTTTTTAGTGCGCTGATTTCGCTTCACAACGGGACTTGCCATTATTCGCCTGGAGAAATCTACAGCTCAACAATTCAGGTGCGTCATGTTCTTGCTTCCACTGTGCAGACGTGGATTAGTTAAACTTTCAAATGTAGATTTGGCTTAAAAAACATCTAATTTTGCTCTGCGGGTCAGAGTTTGGATTCCATTTTTTTTTATTACTCACATTTTAACAAAAAATCTGTTTGACTGCAATATAAAGCTTTTCAAACAAGCAGAAGTAAAAGAACTTTTCTCGTGTTTGTTTCCAAATTTTTCACATAGCTGAACATCTATTTTTGTAATTTCATCATAAGACGGCCTGTGTGTTGCCCCTTTTTTTTTCCCCTCTCACCTCACGTGGCTCATTCGAGGAGAATAAATCGGTTTGCTGTTTTTTCTTTTTAATTATCAACACTGATGATTTTTTTTTAAAGGCAGCAGCACAGAATAGCCATAAATTTTCCACTAATGATGAAAACAAAGTTATTAGTATGAGCTGACTTGGTCGCCACCTGCTGGTGAGAAGCAGAAACTGCAGTCTGAGTGGATTTCTCTGGGTGACGCATTATGTGGGCTTAGACTCATGAAAGTGCTTTTTGTTTTTGTCTGAACACAGAAATGCAAGGCCTCACAGCGACTCCAGCAGCACAGATTTTTTTTTTTTTTAACTATCGTTGATACCAGTTTGCTGTCTGAACAATAATACACCCACCCTACTCTGCAGCAGCAATAAATGAAAGCAGCACGTTTTATTTTCATGCGTGTAAGAATGCATACTGTATTTATGTGTATGCCCTGTGGTGATTTGAGCTCTGGAGTCTGATATCTTTGTCTTGGACAAGACGAGCCGAGAGAGGAGTTGTGTGTCGAGTTTTTAAGACCTGCTAGTAACGAGTCTTCTCCGAAACTTCATCTCCCTGAAGGTTTAGTGCAATTAGACAGATAAAGTGCAATTACCCTTTTTGTTTTTCTTCTCCTCAACTGTAATATTCTGGTGTTTAATAGCCAGGGTGTCCTCTGGGTTTAAAATTCTCTTTATTTTTGTGTGATATTTATTTTAACAGAAAAGGGTACAATTAGTCCATTTAAACCCCCTTTCATTTGTAATTTCATGCAATTTACAGTCGTTTGTTATTGTTGTTCGTTAAGCATAAACGGGTGAAAGTGACCTCCACTTTCTTTCATCATTTAAAAACCTTTTTAAATTTTGTGTTAAAATTAGTTTTTTTTTTTAAGCTGCTATATGTGGGAAAGCACAGCGTTGAATTTTCAACTTGTTTTAGAAATAAAAATGAGTTTTGAGTAAAAGATGCAGTTTTTGCTGAGCTGAAAGATTCGAGCTTTAGATTTTTTGAGTTTCAACTCAAAGGAGCTGGCTCCTTTCTTCAAGATGACCGGTTAGCTGTAGGTTACATTGAATCGGAAAATAAAAATTGTCTTTTTTTTTTTTTTTTGAGTAATAGAATAAAATTTAAGAAATTTGTTGACAAGTTTTGTGGGCTTTTAATTTTAATCCAGGTTTGGGAAATGTAATATTTTCTGCTCGGCTTTAGATTTTTCCGTCTTTACCCAGTTTGAGTTCGATCAAGTCTGGGACTTTAGTGTAACTCGCATTAAAGCTACATTTGTTTACTACTGACTGGACTTGAACATGTTTGACTGTCCCCCCGTCTTATATCATTCCACGTGTTTGTGATTTCCCTTCGAGATGGTGACTGTAAAAACTTTGGTAAAAATGACAAAGAACATAAGTTTTTAAGAAAAATGTCGATGTTTTCTTTTAATTTACGATGTTTGAACAAATATGTAGAGTTAAAATGAACAAATAAAAAATTCAGTTGAGTCTTTATTTTTTTTTTAGCTCGCCTTGTTTTTATTATAAATATATTTTTCCGGTCCATCCTTGTGTATTTAATTGTACAGACATTGTGCATGGTATTATTTTAAAATGCCCAGTTTTCATTTATTATGCTGACAAATTGACACGTGTTGATCTTCAGTTTTGTCCACTAATGGAAACAAAACCCTGAGTATTGTTACAGAAAATGTCTCTTTATCGAACAGCAAAATGAATTAAACACACCACATGGTGATTACTAAAATATATAACAAGAATACCCCTTACGGCACATTGTACGCCCATCAACAAATTATTATATAGAAATACAGCCAACGAGAGAAATGGCCTGAGCCTTTGACCTTGATTTGTGACCTTGAACTTGGAGCAGGGGTGAGCAAAAGTGTACATGACTGTCTGTATGGTGATGCATATGTGTATGAAGTTTTGTTAAATTATCTTGGGCGTGACAGAAAGTTTAAAAACACAATGAGACTATACCATAACCTGTCCGTCTTCAACAGGCGCATTAGAAAAATGCACGTATAAGGGATACGGGTGTATTATCAATTTGAGTTATGCTCATAATTCTATAAATCTGTACATGTATAACCTTAGGGCACCACCTCATGAGAGGAACATACAAGTGCTGGTCATAAATTTAGAATATCTTAAAAAGTTGATTTTATTTCAGTAATTCCATTCAAAAAGTGAAACTTGTATATTATTCATTCATTACACACAGACTGATGTATTCAAATATTTATTTATTTTAATGTTGATTCTAACTGACAACTAATGAAAACCCCAAATTCAGTATCTCAGAAAATTAGAATATTGTGAAAAGGTTCAAAATTGAAGACACCTGGTGCCACGGTCCAGTTTATTAACTCAAAACACATGCAAAGGCCTTTAAACTGTCTCTCAGTCTAGTTCTGTAGGCTACACAATCATGGAAGACTGCTGACTTGACAGTTGTCCAAAAGACCATTGACACCTTGCACAAGGAGGGCAAGACACAAACGGTCATTGTTAAAGAGGCTGGCTGTTTACAGAGCTCTGTGTCCAAGCACATTAATAGAGGCACGAAGGGAAGGAAACTATGTGGTAGAAAAGTGTACAAGCAATAGGGATAACTGCGCCCTGGAGAGGATTGTGAAACAAAACCCATTCCAAAATGTGGGGAAGATGCACAAAGAGTGGACTGCAGCTGGAGTCACTGCTTCAAGAACCACCATGCTCAGACATATGCAAGACATTGGGTTCAGCTGTCACATTCCGTGTCAAGCCACTCTTGAACAAGAGACGGTGTCAGAAGCGTCTCGCCTGGGACTGCTGCCGAGTGGTCCAAAGTTATGTTCTCTGATGAAAGTAAATTGTGCATTTCATTTGGAAATCAAGGTCCCAGAGTCTGGAGGAAGAGAAGACAGGCACAGAATCCATGTTGCTTGAAGTCCAATGTCAAGTTTCCACAGTCAGTGATGGTTTGGGGTGCATTTCATCTGCTGGTGTTGGTCCGCTGTTTTTTTTTTTTTTTAGGTCCAAGGTCAACACAACTGTATACCAGGAAGTTTTAGAACACTTCATGCTGTCTGCTGCTGACCAACTTTATGGAGATACAAATTTAATTTTCCAACAGGACTTGGCACCTGCACACAGTGCCAAAGCTACCAGTATCTGGTTCAAGGACCATGATATCCCTGTTCTTAACTGGCCAGCAAACTCACCTGACCTTAACCCCATAGAAAATCTGTGGGGTATTGTGAAGAGGAAGATGTGATACACGAGCCCCAACAATTCAGAAGAGCTGAAGGCCACTATCAGAGCAACCTGGGCTCTCATAACACCTGAGCACTAGTGTCAGACTGATCGACTCCGTGCCACGCCACATTGCACAGGCAAAAGGAGCCCCAACTAAGTATTGAGTGCTGTACATGCTCAAACTTTTCATATTCATACTTTTCAGTTGGCCAACATTTCTAAAAATCCTTTTTTTAAATTGGTCTTAAGTAATATAATTTTCCAAGATACTGAATTTGGGGGTTTCATTAGTTGTCAGTTATAATCATCAACATTAAAATAAATATTTGAAATGTATTAATCTGTGTGTAATGAATGAATATAATATAAAAGTGTCACTTTGAATGGAATTACTGACATAAACTTTTTCATGATTTTATGACCAGCACCTTTAATATTTCCAATCATTAAATTATAAAAATGAATCAGTCTCTTTAAAATCCAAAACAATGTGAATTATTTCCTGTGTATAAAGAGAGAAATTCTATTAAACACACAAAAAGGCTAAAATAAGCACAAATTAAATGGTGAAGTTTTAATAAAAAAAATTAATCTTAAAAAAATGTAAATATATAGTTAGTAATATATGAATATGGTTATATATGCAATGAAGACTCCTGAAATGCAGTCAAATCTGAAGTAAAATGAATGTGAGATTATACCAGATATCAAATGACTGAAAGTAAAGGCCAGATTATTAACGTTGTCGAAACTTAAAGGCATGTGTTAGATGTTTATCTCCGTTTGTGAAGGAGTAAATATTTCTAAACTGAACTATGTTTTGGTAAGGGCTTAATTTGTAAACCGATCGATGCCGGAATGCAAAGAGTGGGCGGGCCCGGGGGCAGGAGTGTGTGAGTGTGTGGATCCTCCCCCAAAAAATTTTGAATAAAAGAGATGCCATTTCCTGCATTTTTAACGAGTTGCTAAACATCTATCCTATGTTTACCTACATTTGTAAACACTTGAATTATTATTTTAGAGGGCAACAACAAGCCTGTGTGTGAATAGAGTAGCTCCCATTCTGTCAAGTGTCCTAACCCCCCCCCCCCCCCCCCCCCCCCCACACACACACACACACACACCCCTGACAGTTCCGACTTCTAAACTGAACTCTTCTCCACTGAATTCAGTCCTGGTTGTTGCTCCTGCTCCAATCTGCACCTGAAGTGGCACCTTTTGAAGCGCCTGAGGGCTTTAATTCTTAGGTTTTTATTTATGTCTGAAATGTGTGCGAGAGTTCCGACACATCATCAGTTTTGTGCGCATTCTGCAGACGCTCTGTCTGGAGACGCTCCCGTGCGTAATGTGCACTGTCCACAGTGCACGCCGCTGAAGGTGGAAAACACTTGATCCCCGCGGGACATGCCGTCCTTGTCTCTGCTGGGCAGGAGCATGTGCGCGTGCTGCAGCCGGAACATCCACTCCACAGACTGGGTTCACCGGGTTAAGGGCATCGTCTTCTCTCGTATTTTTAATAATAATAATGCGCAATGACTTTGGACTTTTTAGGGGTGGAGATTTGAGTTGCCACATCCAAGCAAACAGTTGCCGGAACACACCCTGTCAAAATGAGAGTTCCCAGATCTTGTTCCGTCAGGATCCGGCTCAAATTAAGACCTGGTTTTGGCTGATAATTATTGTGATGTAGGGTCACCACCAGCAAGCAGATGAAAACATTAATCCTACCAGACGTAGATCAATCAACGTTTGAGAAAGCATGCAGGTTGATTGGCCGGTATCAGGAGAGCTCAGAAGTCAAGACCTCCTGAGATGTCTGAAGGGCTTCGGAAGAGACGGACGTTCCTTCTCGCTTTACAGCATCCTGGTGGACACCAGAACGTGCAGCCAGTTTGTTTAAGCAAACTAAAGTGGAGATCCCCGAGTTGCCTTGAGGATTAAATGCATCAGCATGCTTTTCTCAAACTGGTTCCAATGGTTAGCTATTGGTCACCGTCATTCATGCTGCAAAGCTGATGGGTTCTGATCCTCTGGTGGTTCTAAACATTATCATGGTGCTGGTGCAGAAATCAGGTTTGGGGGTTCTGGAACTCATCAGTGGCTGACAAAACATGGTGGTCATCTTGGTTGAAAACTTAGCTTGAAAACTTCACATAAGCTGGATGCAATTTCTGAGAATCACAGGCCACTTGTGGCTCCTGGAATTCCCTGGCGGGAAGGAATCGACCTTGGAGAAGGCTTCAAGCTTGATCCAGCGGTGTGACCACAGCATTCGGCTGTTTGGAATCACCAGTAAGACGTACCAGCAGAACTATGAAGGCAGATGTGGAAATTCAAGCAGAGGCTGAATGACCCAAAATAATTATCTGAATTTGACTTCCCCACTCGGCTTTGAATTGGCCAGTTAACCTGGTTGTTTATGTGAACAAGAAACTCCACTCCTCCCC